GACTCTCTACTGAGAATGTCCTTCCATCAACACAACTCAGAAACTCAGAAACACAAATGCTTGAGGTCAAAGACCTCAACTGTTGTAATATGAGAGAGGAAAGACAGCAGCCTCTTAAATAACTGCATCCCAGCAACACATAAGGCTTTAAAGAGAGGCTTTCATATGGAAGACCATTCCATTTGTACATCAATCTGGTTGATAAGTGACTTTCCCCATTCACATTCTCTGCTCTACTTAAATATTGAACTCAATGAAAAATGCCTTCAGCCACACCTCATTGTTCTGTCGTTAGATTTTTAAAACACAGCAAGGTTAGGAAGTCGTCAGCACATGGAAGAAAGACCTCCAAAGAATTCAGTGCTGCAGGATGTGATGTTGATATACCAGGAGGCACTCTGGTCCGGGTCAGTATCGAACTGATAATCCATCGAAGTGTGAAGTGTGTTGATTCATTCAAACACTTTTTGAAGAGTAGGGCTTTTATTAATACTCTAGAGATGCCTGATAGTGTCTTTTTAACACCATAACTGATGCTGTTGAAAGTGACATCTTTCAGATGTGTTACAGTATGTCACTTTCAACAGCCTATTTTTGTTCACTGAGGAGTCCATGGCACTTTTCACAAGGACAAGGATGAGAGTACAAAATTCTGATTTGGGTAAGAATACACTTCCTACCTAAATTCTTCCTGCTTTTTCTTTTGGAATACAATATTATTTCTCTCTTCTTGTTATGCAGTGTTTCTGAGCACTGCTAAATAATTGCCACAATCCACTCCAAAGATGTCTGCATTTCAACAAAGTGGTCCCTATAGGGCTGATTCCTGAAGGCCCTACTCACATAAGTAAAAGTATTAGGCTCATGCTAAAGATTGTATGTCTCTACATTTGTAACACACTTTGCATTATGCAACTGCAAGAAATTATTATAAAAACACATATACATACAAGGACTGCAGAAAAAAATGAGGGATTTCCTTACCATGACACTCTCCTCCCACACTCCCAAGCAGCACGAATTAACATACCATTATATTTTATCTGCTGAATCATATTGCTTAGCTGCACATCAGTTCTTCGGGGGGGGAGGGATAGCTCAGTGGTTTGAGCATTGGCTTGTTAAACCCAGCATTGTGAGTTCAATCCTTGAGGGGGCCATTTAGGGATCTGTGGCAAAATGGGGGATTGGTCCTGCTTTGAGCAGGGGGTTGGACTAGATGACCTCCTGGTCCCTTCCAGACCTGAGATTCTATGATATTTTCTATTAAGTTTGCAAAACATGGAGAAACCTTAACTCTACCACAAACCTAGACAGTACATTTGGAAAAGTAAATGGTAAATATGTTCGTTACTGAAAACATCTAGCACATGGTTTGACTTCAAAATAGCACAATGATTAAAAACACTTTTTAATCTTGCTGATCATTTAAAACTCAAAATTGATTGAAATGATATGATAGAAACTTAGAGCTTGATCCAGCGCCTTTCAAGTCAATGGGAATTTTTCCACTGACTTGCATGGAAGGAGGAACCCACAGTTCCAAAATGCTGATGAAAATCTCAATTAGTTTTACAACTATCCCATAACTTGCAATAAAAATATGCAATGTCTTGTAAATGCTACAAGTATTCAAAACTCTACCACTGTGACCTAATGCAGAACATTGTTAACCCTAATTTATAAAAACCTATAACATAAGAACTGGATGGCTAGTAAAAAGATAAGAATTCATTCACATTTTGGTCATGTGCAATCCACAGATTTTAGATAAACATCCAACTACCCAAGCAGATCCCTGAAACACCGTGGAAGAGGTGCCTGCAAACTTATATTAACTATGCTCACAGTTACTGAAATGGCCACTTGTCAAAATGTTAGGGTCACAGAACTTTTATTTTCTGTTGCATGTTTTGATGTTCTTTTAATATTGTCAATCTATGCAGAATGTTTTTTATGATTATTACAAATTCTTACGTGCCCTGTAATAAACAAACCCATGGCAGTGCTTTGGCAGAGACATCATGTTCCCAGAGCTTTGTTCATATTCCCACAAAGTTATGATCTCTCTTTTTTTAAATTTAATTTTTGATTTTTGAAATTACAACATTTACAGGAAAACTAGAAATGTTTACTGCACAGAGACTTCAAAAATTTCTGTTCAGTCAGTCATTTCCAAACATTCAAGCATCAGGTTCAAATGCCTCTTCCTCATTTTCAACACTCGCTTTAACTTTAGGCCTGATCCAGCACCAGTGAAATCACAAAATGGAAATTTTGTTACTGACTTCAGAGGGTGCAAAAGCAGGGTCCTTGTCCCAATCTACAGCTCTTCTTTCCTTTTCCTCCTATTCGTGCCCAGTCCTCCCTCCTAATGGCTCCTTTTGTTCACGCCACCACCTACACTTGGAACAGCCTCCTGTTTCCTCTAGGCACTAAGTGTTCTCCCTCTCTTCCTCCAAATCCTTCTACTTTTACAAAATCTTCAAACTTTCATCTCATCACTTAAGATGCCTCCATGCCATTTTGTACTTGTAACTGTATCCCATTATATCTGTTGTTAGATCATAAGGAAAGAACTCACCAGGAATTTGTCTGTTCTGCATTTCTGAAGAGCCTTGCAAACTCCCACAGTGCTCTATTGATAACATATTATTATACCCCATAAGTAAACTATGACAAAATCAGCAACCTTGCTGAAAGCCCACAAGCTTTACATATATTAAAAACATTTGCAGCTCACATACTTGAGAAGCAAGAGGAATTATTAGGTGTAATTAACATCCCTAAACAGCTAATGCAATAGCTATTAAATCCTGATGTTTTGGAAAAAACTGGTAGCATGGAAAAAGTAGGGCTAATAGAGATTTTTCAAGTAAAACACAGAATCTTGAATTAACACAATTCAGTCTGAGCAAGAACCCACATACAAGTTTGAATATGAGGAACAACCATATCAAGTATCAAGACACAGCTGGGCCCTGGAACAAGAAAATATTAGGACATAAGTACTAGACCTTGTATATGGCAACCTAGACTCATTCATCATGACCCCCTCTCTTTGGGGCTACTTCTTTCAAGTCCTAGATTCCTGTGCATATACACTAGGTACTGTGCATAACTATACAATATAAAAAATCCTACCTAAAAGAAGAAACTCACCTAAAAGAACATTTAGAGAAATGAAGAATGAAAAAAAGCATTTTTTTTAGAAAAAACACAATATCTAAAAAAAAAAATCAGCCAGAAAAAACACATCTTAGTATTATGCTGCACACAGAATGTATCTTGCAAAGCCAAGATAAACCGTTTTGTGTTTTGTGTACATGTTGGATCATATTGAAGAAGATCTGTATTAAAATCACAAATGAGTTTGATTCCCCATAGTTTAAATTCCAGGATTTTACTAATTAAGAGGTCTCTTGGTTTTTGGTACTGTTTCTCTCCCTCTATGAGTGAAACTTGCAAGCTGCTAATTGCGTTAGTATATTCTAAGACAGAGTCTGTTCTCAAAGCAATTCACAGAGAGAGAGACTCAAAGCAATACTCTGTAACAACAGAAACAGCACCCAGAGACTCCCCGCCCTTTTGTTGTATTAACAATTGTGATTAAAATAGAGATAGAGGATGTATGTGGATGGATGCTTGGTGTGGATAATAACTGAATGATCAGGGAGGTGCCAGCCTAAGAATGCAGTGTCCATCGGCTGAAGAAGGTGTCAAGTGGAAATAACCAGAGGACCCCTGGAGGGCAGACTGGAATCCACCCAACAGCCTCAAGAATGGGAGAACCAAAGAACAAGATAACATCTGGCAGCACGGAGCCGTCAGGAACATGCCATCTGCTGATTGATTCAGCAACAGCATGATGAAGCAATTCCCATAGACTGGCATAGGAAGAAATTCCTATAAAAACGGACTCTAGAAAGTGAGAACTTTGGGGTCTGATTGTGGAAACCAACTTCCAGGAGCATCAGATGAGTATCTGACAAGGCCCTGCTCCCTCCTCATGTCCAGGCCACCTGGCCAGTGGCTTGGCATGAGCAACTCTAAGGCTGGTAACTATGATAACAACCTTGTAGAACGCGCGCGCGCGCGTGTGTGTGTGTGTATAAATATGAGATTGAATGGAATGTTATAGCTATAACTAACTGCTTACTATAATAACAACCTTGCAGAACCTGTGTGTGTGTGTTTGTATGAATGAATGTGTGAATAAATATGAGATTGAATGGAATGTTATAACTAACTGCTTACTATGATTCTTTCTGTATTCACAATAAATGTGGTATTTTGCCTTTTTCCCTTTAATAAGATCCTGCTGGTTTTTATTTTATTGGTATAACATACACCTTTCCCTCATTCCCCTTTGCCTAATGTCAACTGTTGTGTAAGTCATGTTTAACCTAGGTTGTAAACTCCTTTGGGCAGAGATTGCATCTTTTCTATCTCAGTAAAATGCCATGTACACCTCTAGAGTTTCCCAAGTACACATAATAATAAAAATTACAAGCAGATATGAATCTAGTAATTTAGTAAACCCCACACAAATGGATGGCCCTGCTGATAATTGGCACATATGAATGTATCTTACTGACCTCTTGAGAGAAATTAGACTGGAAGGAAGAGCTATTCCTCCTCCCTTACAGCATGGAGATGTCATATTCGTTGCCAGAAGCAAGGCTATTCAAGTTTATCTTAACCTAGAGCATTCAATATCCAGGTTAAAGTGAGAAAGCAAGCAAATGACAAACTCTTCACAGCTCTGGGTTTACTGCGTAAGGATCATATTATCAAGATGAAAATGTTTTACAAAGAAAGCCATTGCCAATAGCACAACAGATAAAGTCACAAATACTAGAGAATGGTAGTGCAGGACAAAAGAAATCTAGTTAATCTCTCTGCTCCAGATAAATTAAAATGCATACTAACACAGTAAAATCAGCACTCTAAATAAAGACATATGGCCTTCTTCTCAAATACATTATTCAAATACTTACCCTGATTTCAGGTCTGTAATTCTTAGACAGTTAGTAGCATCCAATCCTACTTTTCCATTTCTGACCACATTGGAAATGAAAGGAGAGAGTGCTGGTGAAATTCTGTTCAAGGCAACTTCAGGAGACATTTTAACGTGTCCTTCTTTTCTGCTGTACAGAGCTCTGCATGGGAAAAATCAAGAAATTACCTGGTGCAAATTCCCATGCAATGTAAGTAACTCAAAGGAAGGACTGGGATAGCAAAGGTTTTTTTTAAAAAAAGCAATAAATTTGATGTGTTAGGTAACTATTATTTTAACACAGCGATGAACTCAAATGTTCAGGAATGTTCCGTAATTATAAACAGACTGAAGTACATACAGGTTTATAAGAGATATGAGCACAGTATAATAAGGCAGTTCTCTCCTCCTAACTCAATAATAATGGGCAAGTGGTCAGATCAGGAAGGCTACTCATTGAATCTAAACAAAAAAATGGAACCTTTCCTGGTCCTCTGCTTTTACTAGAGATCCAATCTCTATGAGTAAGCAAAATCAACTGAAATGGACCAGTCTGACTCCTAAAAACATAGCAATGCTTACAGCCCTTACAAATTAAAAATCCATAAGTGACAAATCCTGGCCCCACTGAATTCAATGGGAATTTTGTTAGTAACTTCAATGGGATCGGATTTGGCCCCCTAGATATATCTTCACATGTAATTTCTAATGAGCCCAAAACATCAGAAAATAGATTAATTTCACTACTACGGCTGGTACAACCAGAACTGACATCACTTTTGCAATTTTATTTCTTCACTAAATACCTGTTTGGAAAGACTTTACTGAACATATCAGATTTACTTATTAGTAACAAATAATATAACGCTTATCATCCAAAGATCTCATTGCACTTTTACAAAGGTATCACTATGCCCATTTTAAAGATGGGAAAACTGAAGCGCAAAGACATAAGGGTAAAATTTTCAGAAGTGCCTACGTGACTTGGGTGCCTAGGTTCAATTAAAAATCAGTGGGACTTAGGTGCTTTTGAAAATTTAACCTTGAATGATTTACTCAAGATCATGCAGAGTCACTGGCACAGCTGGGATTAGAACCCAAATTCTGTATTCTGATTCTAGACCATAGCTTTTTATATGTTTGAAAAGGTCAACTGATGCTCTATTTACCTTCTTACTGCAATACAGCCTTCAGTTACTCTGGACAATATCTACACCCTCTATCTACAACCCAGTAGAGTTCACATATACAAAATCATCTCCAGAAACCAAATACACACAGAATAAGCCTAAAATCTGGGGGATTTGAAATTTCACCCTTCTCTCGACTTTCATTTATGCTATTTTTCCTTCTGTTATCAACCCTGATAGTTGTAACTGCTGTTACTATGATATCTTTCTTCCAGAGAACAAGACAAAGACAACAATAATGCTGTGTATGGTCTGTGGCTATTATCAAGTGTTCCATAAAGAGAATAATTAGTTCCCTGCAGTAAAACCTTCACAATATGATGTTTTTCTCTTGTTTTAACATTCACCAATTTTAATCAAATCCCAGTTCCAAGCATTAGTAGGCGACTAATGGCTAATTCCTACAAAATTGATAACTCCCTGTAATTGATAGCAGTGTTAAGCATCTGATTTAAAAAATTAGCTTTTATGAAAGTAATTCACATGAAAATATAAATCTTCAAGAAACAGAGCCTAAATTAGCTTTTTAAAACATTCTATTAAAGCAAAAGCCTAGCACTTTATGACAACCAAGAGACAATTACATTAGTGTCTATCTTACATAATTATCTCAACTGAAAATCATAAGGTTGCCAGTATACTACTGTTCATGGCATTTCCAGAAGGCACAGCAACAAATATCTGTGATTGTGTTCAGCTCAGCATGGACGGATTGTCATGGACTACGTCCCCATAGCCTCTTTGAAAGACACATAGGAACACCCAGATGTAAGTGTTGAGGAAGATAGTAGTTTTCACCCATTTCCTGTATAATGGGGGGGAGAGGGGTGACCCTTTCACCTTTCTGCATAAAAAAGAAAGTGAGTTCAGTTTTCACTTTGTATTATCTGTATGATCTTTTTTCTGATTCAACATAATCTTCAGTCACTTGAAGCTGAACCTTGCAGGATCAGGCCCTTTATCTTTGATTCACAAAACACAAGGATATTGTCAGAATAAAGGGCTAACAGCGCCTACTCATTCTCCTCATCCATCTCTGATTATGTGGTACAGCACATCATTTATTTTAGACCCATATTTACTTCTACACTACATAAGTGAATTATTGCTCTCTTTATCAATTTCACACAACGCTTAAAGAGATACTATCAACTAAATTTAAAAATAACATTCAAGTTTAGTAAACAGAGGTTTTACAAAATACACTATGTTTACAATCCGTCAGAATTTTTTAATTTTAATTCACATAGAAATGTTTTCCCCCAATTTAATCCTCTTCTCAGTACTGGAAACAAAACACAACAGTACTGAGTTTACCAAAGTGAAATGAAAGTGACCAGAGAGCAAAAATGATGAGTCAAGTATCACTACCTAAAACAAAATACTTGAAAAAAGAAAACAAAAAGCACAAATGAAGAAAAGTAAATTGATTTCTTTTAGTCCTTTCAGTTTTAATAATCTGTTACTAGTAACACAGGTAAAACTAACATATGCTTTTTTACTCTTAATAATGACCCACTAGATCTGAGAAAATTATGAGTGGGAACTGCATCAGGCAGCATGAGGGATCCGAATATAGGCTATGCCCTTCCCTTCAACCTGGATGGCACCATTATGGATATTACATAAATTAATCCATATGAAAGCAGCAAAGAATATACTGGAGGAAACAATTCTAAACTAGCAGAGAAAATGGATTTGAAATTACTTAAAGGATCCTTTCCATCTAATCCCTGATTCTATAATTTCCACCAAACTTTCCTTTGCTCTTTGTGGTAAAGTCCTTCATTCCAAGGATCTTTTACAACACACATTTTAAAGTTTACATTGTCCCACAATGGGGTCTTCTGATAAGCAATATGGTACAGACCACTATGTTACCTCTCCCCCCTTTCTTTTACAAGATCTGCAGGAGAAAACACTATACCAGGGCTTCTTAAATAAGAGTTGCATCTGTTGAAAGCCTGAGGATGATACTAACAAACATAAAATGGGGCACTGGCAGGTTGGTGATGCCCTTAACTTTAACATAGGTGTGGGGACTGTAGAGATAACAAGTCTTCAACATTCAATGCTCCATCCTGATCCGAGACAAAGCCACTAGAATCAGGATGTTGCTTCACAGACTCCTATTTTAATAGAGCACTGTAGCAGCGATCTGTTTTCTTATCAGGATGGATGCTGGAACCTGTCACTTACACAAGGGGCAAATCAGCAATCTAATAGAATTGCTTTGAGCAAGGCTGCAGATTAGAGTGTAAACTCTTTGAGGCAGGGACTATCTTTTCGCTCAGTGTTTGTACAGCACCTAGCGCAGGGGGGTTCTGGTAAATGTCTGGGTCTCCTAGGTGCCATTGCAATACACATAACAACAAGACCTCTTCAGGCTCAAGTGTTGAATACGGAGACTCATCACCACCAGCAGCAGCTGGGATCAGGCTGGTGTGTTGCCTATTGAGACCTGTTGTCACCACAGGCCACACCTGAGATTAGACCAGTGCACCCCACGCTCGGACCCACTGCAGTCCAGTGGTGAACCTATTCCACGCTGGGTGGGACTCCTCGCACCACCGCTCTGGGGAGAGGCCTTGTAGCAGGATCCCTCGTGCCAACGGTGGGGAGAGGCATCCACTATGTTGGGACCCCTCGTGCACCCACGTTGGGTGGGGGATGGGGGGAGCATAACCCACAGCAGGGCCCGTCACGGTGCATGGGGCAGCCCCTCCCCTAGACCCCCCTCCATGTCTACGCCACGCCCCCCAGGGCGAGAGAGACCCGGGAGGAGACCCACCCAATTACCCCGTTCCCCACCCCTACCCCAGCCTGCTGGGGGCGCTGCTCCCTCTGGCCCCTCCCTAGCGCTATCTCCAGGTACCTCCAGTCACTACGGGGCAGTAGAAAAAGCCTTAGCATCGGCCGCGGGCACGCGCCTTACCCCGGCACCCCTCTCGCCTACGGGCGCGCCCCCTGCCGAAGGCGTGCGCGCTCCCGGCTCGCAGTTACCGGGAGAGCGTGGCGGGAGGGTGTCAACGTAACTGTAGGGGACTCCGCACCTGCCTGAATGAATGTCCCCGTCTCCCAGGAGCGGGGGCCGCAGCCGAGAGGGAGAGGAGAGAGTGGAGGGGGTGACCCATAGGGCGGGGAAGGAGAGAGGCAATGGAGCGGGCTCGGCAATCAGGCATTTGAGGGGAGCAGCCCTGGGCTGGCCGAAGGACCCCCCCCCCCCTCGTTGGCAACCAGCGAAGCTCCCGAAGCGGCTGCCCAGGCAGCAGGGGGGTCAAAGTTCACAGGACGGAGACCCGGCCGCTGACCCTGCGCCTCTCGGGCGATGGCCGCTGCTGGCCCGACTGAGGTGGTGGTGGTGGGATCCTGCATGACCGACCTGGTCAGGTTAGTACGTGGAGTCGCTCGCTGGTGTGGTGACGAGCGAGCGCCCCTCGGTGCCGGTGCCTCAGCCCCACCCCCATCCTGGGCAGCACCACCCCGCCCCCATTGCCCGGAGGAGGTGGGGGCTAGGCTGAGGCACAGAGAGCGGGAGGGTCACACGGTGAGTCAGAGTCTGCAAGAGAACCCAGGGGTCCTGGCTCCAAACCACAGATCACACCGGGCTGGGAAAATCCTCTTGCCCCACGAGCCTGTGCTAATAAAGCCAGTGTCAGGTTTCCCACCTGCTGTGGGTGGATGAATGGGGAGGAACAGGCTGGGTGTCATCAGCATTGGGCTGCCAGTCAGAAGGGAGGGTGGATGGAGGGGATGAATGGGACTGAAGCAAAGACCTGCTTCGGGTGTAGAGGGAAAGGAGAAGAGGTATGAGCAGAACAATGTAACTGAGCTGCCAGTCAGAGGGTTGGTCCGAGCTGATGTCAGCCGTACCAGTAATGCTTTGAGAGAAGCGTGTAGACCCAGGGAGAAGTGCACTGAGAGGAATGCCTGAGGCTGAACCTCAGTTTGAATGCATTGTCTGCTAGCGCTTTGATCAGCCGTTTGTGGTAACTTGACGACAGGGACATTGAGTCTGGGGTTTCCAGCTGTACTCAGGCTGTTCAAAGTTCTCTTTGCCAGAAGGGCAAATTATATTTTTCACTCAGACCATAGTAGTCTGTGAACCCTTTCTTAGATCCAGGCAAATCTACCAGAAGGACAGTTTGATTTGATCTTAAGAAAGTAAATAAAGCATGCAAACAAATCTTCAGCTAGTTCAAAGGTGATTTTCTCTACCACATAGGCAAGTGACAGTTTAATATGCTAACTCCCCCCCACACACACACACACACACTCGCGCGCGCCCCTCAAACCAACCCATCAACCTATATCAGCATGGGATAATACTGAAGTTCCTGGTCAAGAAAGTATAAAGTACATGGCTCAGAAGAATATTGAAGGTGAGAAACATAGACACAGACACCCATTCCAGAATTCATGAAAAACTGTCCATGGGTTTTGTGTCAGGAAGATTAAGTGTTTTGTGTAATTTGTAGAAAGCATCAGAAGCTTTCTGAGAAAGAGTCCTCTTATAAGCAGGGGTAAGACCTTTTAGAATTGATCCCTATGTGTACGTGAATGCTCCAACGGAGATTTAAAAGTCCTAAAAAAGAAAATGCGGCCTTTTATCCATGAAAAGTTCCTGTTACTAGTTTGTTCTGTAAAATGCAGTACGAGGAGATGCAAAAGTTTGTCGCATATATAGCACAACTGTCACAATTGTTAAATGCAGTTACAGTCTTAGGCCCTGTCCTGATTGGAAAAAAGAGTGTGTGTTTCAACTGTGTTAGTTTAATGTGATTAAAGCTTGGCCCTTGTTAAAACACATAGGATAACACATTTGAAGTCATGTTAGCTGGACCTTTTATAGCTGATGGATTAAAACATATTAGCCTGCACATTAATAGGCGTTGGAGGGCTTTTCACTTGTGTTAAGCTAACTTGATTTAACTAATATGATTGGGAAAACCTATCCATTTTGCTCTTCAGTACACCGGGCCTTGGGCCTTATGTGTAAAGTAGTGTTATTAAAAAAAAAAATGTGGAAGGTTGCAATAAAGTTAGCTCAGTTGAGCTAGCTTAACTTGCTTGAAACTCCACTTAAACTGTGTCTACATTGATGGCAAGTGGGGTTTTCAGTTGAGTTTGTAAGCCAACTTGATGAAAAAGCACCCCTTTTCTAAGTCTAGAGAGGTCTCTGCGATTTTAAAATGCTCTACATTTGCAGGCCAAAAACTACTTTAATCTTGTATCAAATTACGTTAATACTCATGATGAGGAAGACTTTATATGGGCAATTTCAAAGTCTCTGAGGGAGGTGTCTCAGAAGTGCATACAGAAAGCTAGATGTATTACTGTGCTTGCTGATGGATCCAGTGATGAATTTGCATCTGAGCTAAATCAGCATGCATCAGTTTTGTGGAAGATAGGAAACCTTGTACTCTCTTTGCTGGTGTACCATCTGGAAATAAAAACAGAATCAGGGAAACCTGGTATTATCATGTGGGGAATAATAGCTTTGTGAGAGTTGTGAATATCAAATCAAAACCTATTAGATCTTGTGTAAACAGGGAAATGAACGGGAATTGCTATTCTGAAATATTTAATCTGGAATACTATTCCTGATTAATTCCCCATTTGGATGCTGTTATTCTGGAGTGAATCAGGAATAGTATTCCTGATTAAATTCACAACCTATTTTATTCTAGAATAATTTTCTACATAGACATGCCCTCAGTTTGAATTTAGATAGCAAAATTTGTACATAATGTGCTGGTCATGTTTAGACAAGATGCTCTTGTTGTGGTTGATGCCATGCAAAGCAGCAACCTGTGCTTTATATTCGGGATCTTCTATGTAAAAAAATCCTATCTTGAAAAATTTGAGTTTGTGTTGAAAGACATTTAAGTCTCTTGTGGCACCTTGGAGACTAACACATTTATTTGAGCATAAGCTTTGGTGAGCTACAGCTTACTTCCACTGAATGCATCCAATGAAGTGAGCTGTAGCTCACTAAAGCTTATGCTCAAATAAATTTGTTAGTCTCTAAGGTGCCACAAGTCCTCCTTTTCTTTTTGCGGATACAGACTAACACGGCTGCTACTCTGAAACCTGTCATTTAAGTCTCTGTGACACTGGCAACCCAGCTAACCTGTATCTGACCCAAACCACTGAACAAGAGGCATTACAGTTGTATCAGGACAATTCACATGTATGAAAATTTCAAAGAGATGTACTAGACCAGCAATCATTAACCAAATCATTTGTAGTAATAGAAACCAAGGGTAAATGCGAAGTGTATTAGTCTGTGTTTACCTGTATACTATTAGACGTTTAACAATGTAACTAAATTAGCTTGTAGATACTAATCCCTTTTCATGTCTTCGCAAAAAGAAAAGGAGTACTTGTGGCACCTTAGAGACTAACCAATTTATTTGAGCATGAGCTTTCGTAAAGCTCATGCTCAAATAAATTGGTTAGTCTCTAAGGTGCCACAAGTACTCCTTTTCTTTTTGCGAATACAGACTAACACGGCTGTTACTCTGAAACTTTTCATGTCTTAATTGCCTTTACATATGTATGCAACTGTTTTCAGTCAACCTTAAGATCAAAGATGTGAGACACTGCATGAAATTAACAATATTGCATATATTGTCTTCGGCTTTTCTATCCATGATATAACGTATAACCGGCAGTTGCCTTATGTTAATCAGTGTAACTCTATTACTTGTGTATGCATAAATAGAATGTTAACTTCAAAGTGATGGGACAGTGTGTGCTCAACAAAGAAGACTCCTCAGTCACATGCTGTGCTCAAAACACTTAACAGCCTGCTTCAGCTATAAAAGTGAAACCTGGGGCCTGATCCTTTCATCTCTAGTCTGCTGAACTTTGAACAGGGAAAGTTTAACCTGTGGGACTAAGATCTTCCAAGTTATTTGGAATACCTGGGAAAATTTATGGAAAGACTCTCTATCAAACTTTACATCTAAGCAGCATTTGGATTCTGACCTTTTGAGATGGTTCCAGAGAGACTGTTACAAGCCAGCAGATACAACTTCACTGCTATGATCCTGATCTATGAACACTGAAAATCACTTGTATGTATATGATTCCGTAACCATTTAATAACTCTTCTTTTCTTTTATTAATAAATCTTTAGTTAGTTTGCTAAGGATTGGCTGACAGAGCGATATTTGAGTAATATCTGAAATATATATTGACCTGAGGGTAAGTGTCTGATCCTTTGGGATTGGTAGAACTCTAAGTATGGTGAATAGGGTTTTCAGTAACCTATCACTATATTTGACCTGTTTGCCCAGATGGGCACCAAGGGCTGGAATGCCTAAAGGGGACTGTTTGGCTTCTGGTTAACTAGTGTGATACGGCAGAATTTCTTTTGTTACTGGCTTGATTAGTCTAATTATAGAATAAAGAACCAGTTTTGGGGACTGTCTGCCCTATTTCTTGCAGTCTGCCCTGAGTATGGCATTCTCTGTGTGGCCCATCCGGGCACCCGCTCACAGTCCCAAAGAATGATGGCAACTTCAAGCATGTACTGGTTACTGAGAGCTATTTTTGAGGTCTCCCCAATGTATGCTGGTTTACTATAATGAGGACAGAATACTGAAGGCAATGATCAAAAGTTATTTCTCTCACCTATTTGGAACATATTGCAAAAATTAAATCAGAAGCTGATGTAGCCCAAGTTAGGGGCACTCTTAAGGAGATCAAGAGAGACACATTTTTGAGACATTGCATTTAATGAAAGACTTAGCACTGACACTGAATTCTATCTTACTTTTCTAGAAGATAATCTTATTGTTGAGGATTGCCTAAACTATAAAATGCTATGCTATGATTCACAGCAATGTAATGCAATCTTCTGTCTGAACACTTAACTTTAAGGATGGCAGACTTGAAGGAATAAACATTTCTGGGTCTTTGTGACAAAGTTACAAAAAATATCAGATGCATATGCTTGAAGCTTCCATTAAACATATGGATGCCAGATTAACCAGGCTATAGCAACAACCATTCAATGCTTTACTCCATACAGTGGTCTAGCAATTAAAAACAAACAAACCAAAAAAAAAAAAGAAGAAAGATGGCCCTTTATAGTGGTGTACAAATTGAAATCCGCTAGACCAGTTTACACAAGTGGTGAGTGAGAAGGAAAAGGAAGAGTGCCCTGTTCAAATATTGCTTCTAAAATTAGATTTAAATACCATCAAATTCACTAGAAATGATAGTGTACATGCATATTTTTAAAAAGGTTTTAACCACGAGGCCACCTGCCTTATAAAAGACTGCTTTTATTAGAAATTCTGTTCTCACTGTCATCGCCCTGCAGTGGCTGAACATGGGTTTTCCACAATTACTTTAGGATAATCAAAAGAAACTCACATACATATATTCTGGCTTCTAGTGAGACCAGGAACAGAACATATTTGTGGGCACAGTCACAATCAACACTTTATCAGCAATAGCAGACAGTAGTAGTGGAAAACAAGACCAGCATTATTCCGTATGGATCAGATCTAGATATCAAAACGGATGCAATCTATAATATCATTTAAATATTAGACATTTTACTTGAATTTTAAAGTTTTTGTTCTGACTCACATTCCCAGACTGGTGGTGGCAGAAGCATATTATAAGGACAAGATAGTAAACATATAAGCCGAATGAGAGTCAGACACTAAAAACACTTAAACAGAAGAAACTTTAGTACAATGTTCCAAAACAGCAAAAATGCAGAGAAATCCCTTTAGACAATTTCTGCAGCAATTTCATATTAACTTGAGAGAATGAGACCACAGCCCAAAAATGAACAACATTTTTTTTTGTTGGATGTTCAAAATTTGAAATTTTTGTTTCCTATGGATGTTCTCCCCCACCCCACCCTCGCCACCTCCAGTCTGTACAGTCCCTCTTAGAGCTGGGAACTGAAACTAGGAGTCCTGGCTCCCAGCCCCCTGCTGTAACCACTATTATTATTAATTATTATAACAAGCTGGCTGACTGACTCTGGAAGAAATTTAAAGAGATGGCAGAGAGAGCATCAAGCTACGGAGCAGCCTGAGCCCAAATCGGAATAAACAGTAGTGACAAATGCATATATGGGATTAACCCCCAAGCACACTGTGAAGCCTTATTTTATTTGACAGCTAATGGATGTATTGTGTCTGTTTTTGACAGAGACATAAATGTTCTGTCTCCTCTAAACTTTGGAAATACTTGCATAGTTTGTCTTGCCAATAAAAGACCAAATTCCCTGCAGTGTAAATTGAGGGAGTGCCGCTGATATGCATCCTGGAGGGTTTTACACCTTCCTCTTAGAGCGTCAAAATTGGCCACTGCCAGACAGGATATTGAGTAAATTGTTTGTTGGCCAGTTCTGGTATGGAAATTCCTGTTCCTAAGTTATGTTCTTGCTAAAAATTGTTAAGTAAATACATTGTTTACCTTTTATTTTTATTTAATACATCTTTAATTTCACTTTCTTTGTGGGACAGAGGACAATATTTCCTTCCTCTTCTCTTTCAAATGGACATTTTTTCCCTTTTCTCTTTTCCTTCTTGGTTTCCATGCATGTCTTTTCCATGTGTGCACATTTCCACAAGCTCACACACGTGCACATTCGTCGTCTCTTTACAACATCCTTTCCTGGTTTTATTATTTTTCTGCTTTTACCCACATGCCCCTAGCAGCAAAGGGAAAATCCTCCTCAATACCCACAACCAATATCCGCAGCAGTAGCACCTAATTCTTGTTAGTTTCAAACTGCTGTTGCCTGCAGCGGGAGGAAAGCACAACTGTGAGGTAGTACAAGTGTAGTACAGCTGAGGAAATTATTCTGTTGGATCCGGAGAAGTTAGTAAGGCATGAGAGAATGTGTCATCTATGAGGTTTTGGTTTTTTTAATTATTATTTATTTATGTAGTAATGAGAGAGCTCGGCTTGATTTCAGAACCTGGACTCTTTTTGTGTCTTGTTCTCTCTGACCCAGCAAGGCCTAGGTATTCAGTAATGCAGCACACAGCATCTGTGTTGTGTTTTCTGCAATGACTCCTATGGCAGATCTCAAAATGGCACGGATTAGCTCCAGAGAAAGTCCCATCCGCTCTTTCTTGGCTGTAAGGAAGAATTATGTGACTTGGGACTCTTGAAGGAATGAAGGGTGAACATCAATGGGATGGAATCCTATATAATGGAATCCGGGGGCAGTGGGGGAGTGTTCCTTGCATGTACAGTTCTTGAACACTTTAAATGTTCTGAACTTTGATTTACTGACATGGTGCCTGATCCAGAGCTCATTCAAATTAAAATCTTTTCACTGACTTGAATGATCGTTAGATTGAGTCTTCAGGGCATAAGCGCCATGATATATTTTAGTCTGAAACTCAAGTCTACAGACGAAAGTTTTGTTTTTCAGTGATATGTGCACTAAGAATCACTGCTATGATATTTTGGAGAAGAACATTTTAAATCCAAAGAAAATTCACTTTCCAAAAATGACATTTAAAATAAATCTATGTATTAAGCAGAATCAATGGGAAAGAGGCCCGGTTACGTGTCATTTAGGTTCGTACATAAACGTGAATGCAAATGCAGCTTTTGTGGCAAATTAAAATGTGATTAGTGACCTAAGCTGTTACTGTTACCCACAATACAAAAATGCTGCACTATTTATCATGATCAACACTCACTGTCTAAGAGAAGCTGTTGTCTGGTAAAACCGGAGATGGTATGGATCTTAACTGAGGTGCATTGGTAGTATTCAGGAAACCTGCTCAATACTTCTGAATGTTGTCCCTGGTTCTTACCAGTAACATTTACTTTTGTTGTTTGTTTTTAAAATAGGTATATGAAGGTTGTGTCACAATTCAGGGCAACTGCACCTATATTCCCCCTCCGTGATCCAGCTTTTGGTTCCTAGCCCTCGCCTCTCTTAGGCAGATATCCCTGTCTCTCTTGCTCCTGACTGGGTTCCCTGTCTGCACTGTGTTATTCCCAGCAAGCTAGACAGGCCAGCGTCTGCACTTAGCTATCTCTCTTCAGAGACTATACGCAGCATAATTGCCCACAGGTGTAAGTTACCACACAGCTCTGTCTAAGCCAGTGGTTCTCAACCTGCTTATCATTGTGGGCTGCTGCCAACAATGTGTTACCTGGACTGCAGGATGAGAACCACAGCATGCCTCTCCCTCCACCCCACGAACTGCCCCCTACAAACCCCCATGCCCAGCACGTCTCACCCAAAGACCCCTCCACAGAGTGGAGCCCTGGATGGGGGGCTGGGCAGCAGGGACCCCAGACCCCACTGTGTGGGGCCGGGCAGCAGCCCCCACCCTGGACCCAGCCGGGCAGCAGCCTCAACCCCACAGGGCCGGCCGGCAGCTCTAACGTCGACCCTGTGGGACAGTCCCCGGGTCCTGTGGGATCGGGCAGCAGCCCTGGACTCCAACCCCGTGGGGCAGTCCCAAGACCCCCGCTGGGCTGGCTGCCGACCCTGGACCCCTGCTGGGGCAGCCCCAGACCCCGTCACGCTGGGGCAGCCCCAGACCCCGTCACGCTGGGCAGCCGGGAACCCGGACCCCATGCAGCCTGTCGGCCTTTAGCACACAGCTGGGCCACAGTTGTGTGCTAATTGGGCCGCATGCTGGCTGGGGGTTGAGAAAAGTTGGTCTAAGCAAACACTTTTATTTGTAAGGTGAAAGCATTACAGAAAAAAACATATTAAAAACAATTTTAAAAATTTCTATGCATGCTAATAAGCTCACCAGAGATCATCCCCCACAACTCCAACTGGGGCTCTGGTAGCAGTCAGTCCTTCAACCCCCAAGCAGAGATCTTCCTGTGGTTACAAGTTCATAACAGTCTCAACTCAAAACAAACACACCGACTGGGCAGATCAGCCTGTTTCTTTGTACAGCTTGGGCTTTTGATTTTCAGATTCCGAAACAGTAATAAGTAGACAATGGTCCCTTCCTCAGGGCATAGCTTCAAAAGGCTGGATTTTTGCATAATTAGGAGGAAGGAATTTGCGTTCACCTCCCCCCTACACATTTTCCAGTAAATCCACTTCACACATATT